GACAGATCGAATGTGTGGAAAGATAAAAACGAGGATCAACGGCTAGGCTTGACTCCTCAAATCAATGGCTAACAGTTTGGGAACGGGCTTCGAAAATGGACAGAAGAAAAGAAAACCCATGATTCGAATTAGTGCCAACATAGAGGAAAGAGAAAGAAGGGCGTAAAAAACCCAACCAAGTGAAAATGAAACTTTTAATGCACTTTTGATTTTCTTCCTTGTTTATTGTGTGAAGGCATTAGGAATATATACACATTCAGGAGAGTAAAAGAAATAGGGGAAGGTGGTCTTTGGAATCTACTGAGATCACCAGCTGTTCCCAACAATCTAACCAATTTTAAAACAGAAAAAATCTTGACCCTTCATTTTAGGGTTTTGATCTGGGAGGTCAACCTGTCCATCTCCTTTCAGCCTTTCCTTTTTTTACCTTAATTCTTTTCACCCGCTCCTCAAGATGAAGTCTGTTCACTTTTAACTCTTCAAGTTCCTCACCACCATTTTTTTAAACCTTTGTGTTTTCTTGTTGTAGGTGCTTCATCTTGAACAGAAGTCGGTGATGTACTGAGGTTCCTACAAGTTTTGTGAGCATATCAGCGAGCTGTTCTCTCGAGGTGACGTGTTTTGTTTCGACAAAGCTCTTTTGTACCTGGTTGCGAACTATGTGGCAATCGATATCGAGGTACTTCGTTCATTTGTGAAAGACCGAATTTGTTGCGATGTGCTTGGCAGCTTTGTTGTCGCAGTTCAGTATTACGGGTAAGTGAGGTATTATTTAAAAATCTTGAAAGAGGTAGGTTATCCACTGAACTTCACATACTATGGATGACATACTTCTGTACTCAGCTTCTATGGAAGACTTGTTCACCGTAGTTTGTTTCTTTATTTTTCAAGAGATTAGTGTTAGCTCGAGGAAGACACAGAAGCCCGTGAGGGATTAGCGGGTCATCGGACACGATGCCCAGTTCGAGTCATAAAATCCTTAAACTTTAAGATCATTCCTTATCGGGAAAAAGATGCCTTGCTCTGGATATTGCTTTAGGTACCTGACAACATATAGTGTGGCATCGAGATGCGGCCATCTAGGCTGTTGTATGAACTGATTGATATGTTGGGTGGAGTATGTTATGTCGGGTCTATGAAAGTTGATGAATAGCGAGCAGCCGATTAGACGTCTGTACCTCTCCGGATCTGGTAAGATTTCTCCTTCTTCTGCATTTAGTTTAGTCTGAAGACAGGGAAAAATGGCTTTCTTTTATGTCTTCCATCCTTCTATCTTGTAAATGTCTTTAATGTATTTCCTCTGGCTGATGTAGATCCTTCTTTTGACCTGGCTATCTCGACTCCAAGGAAGTATCTTGTTTGGTCGAGGTCCTTGACCGTGTAGGCTTCATCTAGGGCACTTTTGACTTTACAAATCTCTTCGTCATTAGGACCCGTAACAAATAAGTCATTCACATTTACCACAATTGCAACATAGTTTCTTTTTGTTCCTTTTGTGAATAGGCAATGGTCGGTTTTTGACTTGGTGAAGCCAATGGATTGAAGCTTTAAAGTAAGCTCCTTGTTCCATTAGCGACCCACTTTTTTCAGGCCGTACAGGCTCTTGGTTAAACGACAGACTTACCCTTCACTGGCTTTGAAGTAGCGCTCTGGGGGTTTTAGGTATAACTCCTCTTCTACAAACCCATATAGGTACGCATTATTGATATCTAACTGATACACTGGCCAGTTGCTTGCGGCTGCCACGACTAAAAATAGTCGAACCGTGACTATTTTGGCCACTGGTGAAAAGCTATCATGATAGTCTATGCCAAACTCTTGATTGTAACCTTTAGCAACGAGTCTTACTTTGTATTTATCAACTGATCTATCGGTATTGCATTTTGTTATATACATCCATTTTGAGTCAATTGTTTTCTTCCCTTTTGGTAGTGCAGTTAGTTCCCAAGTGTTATTATCTTCTAATATGGACAACCCAACTTGCATGGCCTTAACCCACTTGCTGTCCTTTTTAACATCCCTGTATGACATTGGTTCCTTCATAATAGACACTTGTGCAAGGAAATTAACATAACCATGATTGTATGCAGGTGAGGTGGACATGAGGAAAGGAGATTCAGGTACAAGTTGTTCTGTGATATGGGCAACAAAGTCTTCCATCTAGGCGGGCCTACTTCTCACCCTAGTGCTCCTCCTTGTTTCAGACTCTTGGGGGATGATGTTTGGTAAGAGAATTTCTTCTTTTCTTTGAACTGGTTTTTGGGTGTGGTTGTTGTGTCGATGCTTGGTATTGATAATGGTGTGT